AAAGCTGAGACCAAACCTACATCCTGGCAAGTTCTGGATTAGTTCTGCTCTAAGGCTACGTTTATATGACGACGGACTGAACAGAAGACTCAAAAGTGGCGTCGCATCTTCACTTTTTATTGCACGTTTAGACGAGCGTTCTCGGGAGGAACTCTGCGTGCATACGGTGATCCAAAAGTGTGTGGAATCTGACTGGGTATGCATGCCAAGCGACTAGGTGGTGACGCTAGGTGGCGATGTACGTGACGTAAACGTGTACGCGACCTGAGCAGATCTGACCAGAGTTTTGCGTCTTGGGAAAACGCTACGGTGGAGCTTATTCAACTTTTCCAATCTGGAGGATGGGGTTTCAGATTTTTGCATTTTTAAGCCCCAAAAACGCCGTCAATGTCTAAACGAAAGGCACTTCCGATAAAATATTTTGTCGTTTTTTCTTGTGTTCACAGGCCCTTAAAGGTTGTATAGAGGATTTTTTTAAGGAAAGAGAAATACAGCAACAGTTGTTTTTCAAATGTTCCTATAGAAATAATTTGGAGACCGACACCTCAGTTTTTAGACCCTTTGTCTGCTTCAGTCACGCAGCCGCTGAAAGGAGTCTCCAAGAACCACCTCAGTTTGTCTTCGCTCCTTTTCTCCTTCTTTTCTTCTTTCAGCGACCTCAAAAACAGACTTTCTTTTGCGGCGAACTGGTCGTGGATTCTCATCCAACATCGCAACAAACTTTGTGCGAACTGCGAGGAAGCTACAAGTAGAAAAAGCCTCTAAGAACTGCTGCATAGTTACCCTAGAAACGTAGGGAGTTTGACTGACAACCTAACAGCCAATAGAAAATGAGGCAACCTTGTTTTCTATTGGCCGATGTTTATCTGGCCTCAATAAGTCCACAGTTGATAGATTTTCATTCTTTTTTTTTTTGGTCATCATAATTACAAGGCTTCTGCTCTGTAATGGTATTTTAAACTTTCATTGACAATTTGAAACTGAAAAAAAAAAATCCTCCATACAACCTTTAATCTAAAATGCCTCTCTCTGATCTGAACGTTCACTATCTAAACCCCAGCACCTGCAGAGTTTACAGCTCAGAGAGTGAATTCTGGAGGTGAAGAATAAGCGAATAAGAGAGAGAAAAACGCAAGTGTCCTTTACCTGTAGGTTAAAGCACTGGCAACACAGGTTCAGTAGTGACTGCATTACCTTTGTTAAAACCGTAAGAGCACGGGCTACATACATTTATTGATTTTTAGAGGCGCACTTCCCAGTTTTAATCAGAAATTGCAGCGTAGCAGTTTAACGTTTTCCTAAAAAAGAGCAACCACACCTGCAAAACAAACAAAAATAAACAAGTTCAGGTATTTTTGATGAAGTAAAAGTGCTACATCAGCGTGTTGTGTACCATGTCCAAATGCTGAAACGAAGCTGCAGTTTGTGAAGACACAGAAGCCGTAATTAACGCTGAACCCAATTAGTAGAGTTTCTCGTTAGCGGCGGGTGTTGGTGTAGTGACTGGGACCCGTCACGTGTTAACAGTGACAGTAATGAAGCTGGAGCCGAAGCTTTGATCACACCGACTGAACATTACGATGAGTTAGATGACACCGGAGTTGTAATTAGAAAGGTTAATCAAAACAATAGAGGTGCTAATTGGTGACAAGGTAATGGAAAACTGCTCGTCCCAAATGTTAATCAATGTTAAATGGAGATACGTTTAGGCGGTGTTAAAAGTGCACTGTGGAACTTTTCTGGTGGTGGACGGTCTGACACCTGATATTACCCTGCGCTGAATATTCCACTGGATGAAATTAAATGTATCTATGAAGAAGCAAGTAACCAGGTACAACCATTCAATGTCAGATCTGTGTAGAGGCAAGCCTGCTTACAGTATCTGATCTTTTAATGACAGTCTGAACAACACAGATCCAATTTTTTCAAATGCGACCCAGGCCACTTGGGCTACATTCAGACAACAGGGCTTAATGCTCAATTCAGATTTTTTTGTGAAATCAGATTTTTGGTGGGGTTGTTCACATTTCCAATTAAATGTGACTTGTATGTGATCTTCAATGTGAACTTTAAATGCCCCAAAAGTCCTGCATGACCACTGGACGTCACTACAATGTCACGTGCAGCGAGCGTGCTCAGTGTTTACAGAAGTAGCCTCCGAAAATACGGTTCAGTGTTTTGTAAAATGAACAGGTTACACGTCCACGGCCGCTTCGTTTGTTTGCATCTTTAGCCTTTTATTTGACATGCAGACTCTTTATTTTTTGTTGACATTGGAGTCAGGACTGTCTTTAGCCGCGCTCGTCCATTTCTGTGGCAATCATTTCAAAAACCACCCGGTTCCGATAAGACTCCTCCAATTTGGCCTGAATACAGTGATCCCCCCAAATATTAAAGAACTCACTAACCTCGCTTTCCCTCCACTGACAAGACTCCAAGCCTAACGGCTGAGCTCGCACTTTCTTGTTCTTGTGGTTTTACAGCAACATTACATCTTGGTCGCTTTGCAGTGGAAGGTGTTTCTTGGTGAACAGCTGGTGCCTTTCACTTTGGCGTTGACGTTTTAAACTCGTAACCAAGGTGGAACGAGGGATCGGGATCCCGCTTTGCTGGTTCCACATACAAAATGTTTGCTACAAACTCGGGATGATTTAGGCAGTCAAAGTTTCCTTTTTGGTCCTTCCTGTGGATCAATCGTCTTTCACTATTTTTCAATTCCGTTGGGAAGGGAAACAGTTTGAACAGAGGTTTGCAGTCACACACATCTGATTCACTTTTGCATTTATGGAGTTCGCAAACAAATTCTCGAGCCGTTTTCCGCTGTTAGGATCCAACAACCACACAATTAGTCCGAATCCCAAAACTAAAATATGACAACATCAGAACCAGAAACAAAAGTGATATGGTTCAGAAGACTTGAAAATATCGACTTTGTCAATAGACGCATCCCACTGGGAAAACAAACATGGCGGTTTGATGCTCACTTTTTCAGAAAATCCTTCCCAGTATGCATTGTGGTATGACCGGAAGTCTGAGATTCTTAATGTGTCTATTGCAGCTAGGGGCGGCCATGCACGCTATTGAACATTTTCCCGCCTTTTTTCAACATTGTTATTATAATTATATATATTAAAAGCTATACAAATAGAACTTGTGCTTCTTTTTCGGCCAAGTATAGTTGGATTGATTGATTACAAAGGGCACAATACATAACATGTTTATTGGGCAAGACACTTTCCCCAACTTGTACTTTATACTTCACTTGATTTATACCCTTGGTTACCTTCAATATTTTTAGTTGATTGTATTTGTCACATCAGGGGAAAATGTTTGTAATGACTAAACACAAAAACACACAAATGTTCCCTGACAGCTTCATACATTCCCGATGATTATCCCTGGAAACCACAAACCAAAGCGTGATTAAAGCGCTCAGATGTGCCATGATCACAAATGTATGCTAATGCGATTCTGTGGCGTACAAACGGCATTAGAAAAGGCAGTCGCTTCTAGTGTTTGTGAACAGTGAACACGCACGGGGAGTGTTTCTCGTGCAAACCCGGCGCTCGGCTCAAAACAGACCTGACTCCGGCTGTAATTGGCCACGAGAGGAAAACAATGGTTATTATTTCATTTCCATAAACATTTGGTTTTTCATCTCGCACCACAACAGCGCGTTAATAATACAAGACCTGACTGTATAAAGACGATCACTTTAATTAAATCGCGGAACCTTCAATATCGATTTGCATGTACAGTGCAGCTTTCACTTTCAATGGAAAATGAAAGTTAAAAACACACTTCGGAACATTCCCCACAGAGATACACGAGTTTTTATGTCATACTGTGGAACATTATAACCAAAGCAACAACATCTCCTTGGAAAAAAAGCGGGAGACACTCCTCTAGATCAAGTAAGAGTCAGGTTTGTGGAGATGCAAGTCTGCTCATGGTAAGGATGAATGGTTTTTCAGCACAATAAACATCTAAAATTAAATAAATTAATAAAAAAAAAAAGAAAGAAATAATAAAATGGCTAAAAAGTTACAAAGAGTGGCTCAATCCCGGTCTGGTCTCGGTGTCAGTCCTGTTCTCAGTTCTGTTCTGGTCCCGGTCTTAGTCCCAGTCCCAGTCCCGGTATCAGTCCTGGTCTCTGTCCTGGTCTCAGTCCGAGTCTGAGTCCCGGTCTGGTCCCAGTCTCAGTCTCGATGTGGTTTCGGTCTTAGTCCTGGTCTCAGTCTTGATCTTGTCCAGGTCTGGTCCCAGTCTCAGTCCCAGTCTCAGTCCTAGTATCAGTCTTGGTCTCAGTCCCGGTCTAAGTCCCGGTCTGAGTCCCCGTCTGAGTATCGGTCTCGGTCTGAGTCCTAGTCTGGTCCGGGTCTCAGTCCCAATGTGGTCTTGGTCTTAGTCCTAGTCTCAGTCATGATCTTGTCCAGGTCTGGTCCCAGTCTCGGTCCTGGTATCAGTCCCGGTCTCAGTCCTGGTCTGAGTCCTGATCACCTGACAGTCTATGATACTCAGTCCTGGTTCAGTCCTGTTTTAGTCCTGGTTTAGTCCTGGTTCAGTCCGTATGTGGCGCAAAAGTTTGGCATCGCAGTTTAAGTCACAGAAATGGGAAACCAGATTAAAGAAAAAAAAAAAATGTTATCTGTTTTTTCATTTTGGTTTTGGAGACAAATAATTAAGAAAACTGTTGTTTTTTCATTTTCTTATTTTTGGTTTTATTTTGAAAAACGAATGAACGAATGATACACGGATTCTTAAGGATGTAATGCAATACTGTAATACCTTTCTGTACATCTTCTAAGTACTTTTTGTACTGCGCTCCGAGTATCGTCCCTGAGGATCTCTCGTGAGTGGGTCGTGTATTGGACGGTGGAGATTGGGTGCAGTGAAGTGAGGCGCCGGACGAGGGGACCCAGGTGGAGCTCCGTTTATCCGCCACGCCGATGCCATCGGGAGGCCGCGCCGACGCCATCAGCCGTCAGCTCGAGTGCTCGTCATGTGGCTGCGTCCGGGCCGGGGCAGTCCTGAGGGAAAGCGGGGGGGGGGGGGGTCTCCAGATACACCTCCATCTCCTCCTCCACCCTCATCCCCCCTCTCCATCTGAAGCTAATGCGTCCGGTAATGGATACGGCAAATATGTCGAGTCTGGTGCACTGGCTGGAATGGGACACACCTAGTTAAACTCAATAATTAATACTGAAACCACAAATCTATTTCAGTCCAGCGATTTTTGACAGTTATTTGCGGTAAATAAGCAGCTGATCCCAATTACTCTTCAGCAAA